CCCTAGCATCTCAGTATGGAGTTAGGAGCCTGGCCCTGGATAGAATTCTGGCTCAACTCATTATTCGTCCAAAAATTGTTTACTGAGCACCTATCGGGGACAGGCACTATGCTAGCTGTTCAAGGTATACTGGTGAATGAGGGAGACAAAGAAGGAGATTAACAATAGATATACTATGCAAGTAAATTACACAGCATACTGGAAGGTGACAAAAGCTATGGACAGAAAAAGAAACAGGAAGTTAAACAGGAATATTGAGAAGGACTGGGATTGTATTTAAATAAGGTGGCCAAGGTGGCTTTCGTGGAAAAGGTGATATTGGAGAAAAGACTTGTAGGAGGCAAGGGAGAGGGAGCCATGTATCTATCAGGGAAAATACAGACAGGGGGAGTAGCCAGTGTAAAGGCCCTGTAATAGAACCATACCTGGCTTACCCAAGAAACAGTAAGGAGGTAGGTGGTGACTCAGAGTGCTAGGAAAGTCACACAGGGACCCATGGATCTTGGTGAGGAGCCTTGGAGAGTTCTCACCATTGAGGAGTGGGCGGGGGGCAGCCAGCACAGAGAGGGAGAAGAAGCCTAGCAGGTCTGTGATCTCAGCCAGAGTGTGGATGGTGGCTTCAGTCTGCTCCTGTAAGGAACCCCCAGGGTGTGTTACACCTTAGCACCATGCCCTACACCTTGCCTCAACCCAGGCAAAGAAGAGGGGCTTGAGATGATGAGGTCTAGCTTGGAGGAAAGATTCACCCTAAAAAAGGGAATTGTACCTGTTGGCTCTAGTCCCCAAACAACAAGGCCTTAGGAGTCACATCCCCACACTTGGGGTGGCCAAAGCTGGGGACATGGCCAGCCACAGTGTGACCAGGTGGAGGGTTTTGGTTAGGAAGATTGAACGACCACCCCACTGAGAGTTTGACCTCCTCTGTAGTATCCCAGCCATGCACAATCCTGCCTCCTGTGAGGGGGAGTTAGTTGCCCCGAGTAAGCTCTGCTCATCTTTGGATACTTTGGATGGCAGAAAATCTACTCATCCTTTTCATAAACCTTGACTGCATGCCTACTGTGCACCAGGGACCATTCTTAGTCCTGGAATACAGCAGGGAATATGATAGACCAGGTCCCAATCCTGGAGCTCATGCCTGGAAAGGAAGATGTTTAGAGAAAAAAAGACAGTGTGGTAAGTGCAGAGATGGGGAAGCCCCAGAAGCTATGGGGACCTGGAAGGTCCTGAGAATCCCACCACCGGTCACCAGCCCCCTACTCCCTCAGGCCCAGTCACCCTGTCCTTGTCTGGATGGCTGGGTCTTCCACAGAGGGACAAGGACACTGCAGGGTACAGTCCATGGCTCCTCTTTATTCTGGGCAACAGCTCATTCTTTTAGGTGTCAACTTGGTGGTACTCAACACCCAACTGACCTCAGTGGGCAGAGACAAGCTGTAGCCACAGGCTTGTGCAGCAGGGACTGCAGGCGACCTCCAGAAAGGCCTCGGGGATTTGGGTGGGATTCTGATGGCCCTTTCTACAACCTGTGTGCTCAATGCTTCCTTTCCCTCTCCGATCTCACCTCCCACCCTTTCCCCCTCACTCATTCTCTCCACCGCTATTGGCCTCACTGTTCTCCCAACTTGACAAATAAAGGCTCATTTCAGGGTCTTTGCATTTGCTATTCCCTCTGCCTGCAATATCTACACGACCCCCATGCACACCCCAGTGCCACCTCCCCAGCGAAGCCCTCCCCGGTCATCTTTTTTCAGCAATACCCACACTACTCCCTCTGCACTCTGCCCTGCTGTTTTCCTCAGAGCACTTTTCACCGCCTGGTATGTGATATACTCACTTGTTCATGTGCTGATTTCCTCATCCACTGGACGGGAGCTCTCTGAGGGCAGAGACCATTCCTGGTTGACTTTCTATCATGTGGCCTTGGAAGTGAATATGTATTTGTGAAATAAGCAATTCTGAAATATAAGCGATTTCCAAGAGCCCTTCTAGATCTCACCACGCTGAATTATGGAGATAACTATGACTCCCCTCCCCAACTTCCAGTGACCAAGAGTGGCCTCTGAAGGCCAGTCACATCTAAGAAACTGCTAATGGGAGCCTCCCTCAACCTCTCCCCCATGCAGACGCACCTGGCAGGGTCAAGGGTCAGCCTGTCCCGCCTATCTGGGCCTTCAGGTGGAGGGGACTCAGTGCTGGGCAGGCCCAAGGGTGCCTGTGAGTCTCCTTTGGCAAATGTATCCTTCCTTCACAAGGCCTGTGTCTGAATTTCCAAACCATAAGGTGTTTACACAAAACATCCTGGGTTTGGTGACAAATTCACCCTCAATGAGGAATCCTTAATGAGTCTCCCTCCTTCCCCACACTAAGCAGCTGCAGGGAAAATTAGCTCTGCCTCTTCTCTGGTAGCTGAAGACAAAAAGGCCAGGCAAAGGAGAGTTGCTACGGTGACTTCTGTGGCCACAATTTGGGGTAGAGTCTAGAGGCAGCTGTGTAATGGAGACCAGAGCATTTCCTAAACCAGATTTGCACCTGACTTGCTGTGTGATGAGGCACTGCGCCTCCCTGGCTGTACTGTGTGAGACGGGGCAATAACAATCTCTGCAAAGATCTCTGTGAAACTAAACAAGGCAGAGTGTGAGAGGCCTAAGTTACCACGAGTCAACAGGAGATAATAAAGCTGGTTATGGTGGCACATGTCTGTGATGCCAGCACTCTGGGAGTCTGACTCAGGAGGGTCACAAGTTTGAGCCCAGAGAAGGCAACTTAGTGACTTAAGGAGACCTACACCCCCCCCAAAAAAATGCAATGAAGATAAGAAGCCAGAATCATGGAGGCAGGCGACAGGGTCCTCACTTCCCTCTGAGCCTTAGTGTTTGCAGCTATACAACGGGGGCTTGGGCACAAAGATCTCTAGGGAACCCTCTGGTTCCATCTTGCCATTGCTGTTGGCTGCCTCTTCTGGGAAGGCTCCTGGGACCCTATGGCCCCCACGGATGCATGTCCCAGCTTTTGTAGGACTGCGTTCCTGAGATGGCACTCACTGCTTATTGCCTAATTCTCCAGGGCCTTCTTTGGGACTAGGTCAACTACTCTGGATATTGGGCTTTAACAAAGTAGCTCAAGGTGCACGGCGTTCAGGCAAAATTTAAAGTGGTTACTGCTTTCTTCCCATCCTTCAGGGAGAGACGGGAGAATTTCTACCCACTTTTATTTACAGATTGGAAAATGAAGGTATCAGAGATTAGCTCTAAGTCACACTTCCACATAGGCTTTCTTAGTGTTCATTAAACAGAGGGAAACGCTTTATTACTATCTTCCATAGTATATAATTCTTTAACACTAATTACCGGAGTTTCCGACTAGGATAAAGTTTCAAAAGGGTAAGAATTTTGTTTTTCTCACTGCTACCTCCTCCCCACTTTAAATTGCCTGGCACAGGGTAGGTTCTCGTGAAGTATTTGAAGGGAGGGAAGGTAGCAGCACCTCAGACTGTTCTTTCAGGCCTGCAGGGGGCGCTGCAGCCCCGCCCCCAAAGCCAGGCCCCGCCTCTGGCGTCCAGCTGTCGTCCATGCTTTGGCGCTTGCGCACCGTCCGTCACTGCGCAGGCGTGCCGGAAGTCCCGTCAGTGCAGCGCGAGAGCTGAGAGTCAGACCGGAACCTGAGCGGATCCTTGGTGGAAGTTCACGGAGTCTTCGGTAGCTATGCTGTCCCCGGAGGCAGAGCGGGTGCTGCGATACCTTGTCGAGGTGGAAGAGCTCGCCGAGGAAGTGCTGGCGGATAAGCGGCAGGTGAAAGGCCCGTCCGCGGCGCGGGGGTCGCCGACTTGACCTGGCTGCGGCCCGTCGACCCCACGTGACAGACGAGGGCGGTTTGAGATAACGTGGGTCAAATGCTTGGCCCGACGCGGCGCGTCGCTCACTCATTCGGCTGGTCTGAAGTGAGCGCCCGCTCTGCTGGACATTGTCTTTCTTGCCCCTTCGGGATTCTGACCCATTGTCGCCCTGGGTGGTTTCCCTAAGCACCCATTTTAGAATGCAGTTCTGGACTCGATCATTGACCTGTGTAACCCAAGGCTATGAGGAGACGAGGACAGAGAAGAGGCAGAGTAGGGGCCGAGGGGGGGTGCTGGTCACGCAAGGCCGTTTAGACGAGCACAGGGAGTTTGTCTTTGGTTCTGATTTTTAAGGCCTGAGTCTTTGAAGAGAGTGGGCGTGGGCGTGTAGTTGGAATAAGGTTATAAAATAATCCGGCTGCCGCGTGGAGCACAGGATACAGGAGGCCAGGGTGGAAACAGGGAGACCAGCAAGGAGCCATTACCATCGTCCAGACTTGATGGATTTGGACCAGTGGTGGGGATGAAGAGAAGTCAACAGTCAGAGATACGTTTTGAAGATGGACACAGTGGGCTGTGATGATAGTTACATGAAGAGCTGGGAGAGCTGGAGGAGGCAGGCATGGCTCTTGACTGCCTTTTATCTCCATTATGAAGGCTTGGGTCAAGTACTCACTGAGAAGGGGAAGCACCTATCAAGTAACACTGTATGAAGGAGTGACCAAGAGACTAATAAGACTGATAAATATGTAGCAATTGATGCTTATCGATCAAATACCTACAGGGTATCAGGTACTGTAAGCTCATTTAGCTCCTTGCTCAAGGCACTAGTTTAGTTATACGCCCCAGGGTTCTAACCTGGGTGTTGTAGCTCCAGGGCCATCACTGTCAAAGCAAAAACTGGCCTCCTCACTCCAGAGTAGCTGTTGTGCTAGTGTCTCTTCTGCTGCTGCTCCTGTCAGGTATTGCTTTTGTTTGTTTTAGATTCAGGTTGGCATTGAACTCACTCTAATCCAAGCTGACCTGGAATTTCTGATGATTCTCCTGCCTCAGCCTTCTAAGTGTTGACATTACAGGTGTACACACCACACCCGGCTGTTGTTGGGTTTCTTAAACTGGGTAAGAGGTAGAAGAGGGCTGGGGATTTTTAGCTCTGGTGCTGTGTCTGAAGGTCCTGAGTTGTATCTCCAGTATAAAGATAAAAAAAAAAAAAAAAAAAAAAGAAGCAGGTAGAAGAGCTTGTCTGAATATAGAGCTTCTTAGGCCTGCTTAATCACTCCCTGGTGATTCTGATACGCTCTCAAGTTTGCATGGATACTACAAAGTTACCAAGTTAGCCAGCAAACATTTTCTCAGCACCTTCTTAGAACCAGGCCTCTGTGTAAAGTGTTGTCTTTAAGGACCTGGAAGGTTAGTGGGAGGAGAAGTACATTCACCATCAGTTCATTTTAGGAAGTAACCCACAAGTGGTGTCTTCTCAGCCTCTTGTCTGAAAGATGACAGGTTGGGGCAACAGGTAGCTGAGCTTCCATCCCCTCCTGTTTTCAGATTGTGGACCTTGACACCAAGAGGAATCAGAATCGAGAGGGCCTGAGGGCCCTACAGAAGGATCTCAGCCTCTCTGGTAAGTTGTGACTTCCTCACTGCAGCCCTAAAATCTACTGTCTTTCTTTGAAGGACTTTGTCTTAAACCTAGTAGAGACCAGGTAGGAGGCCACAGATGAGTTACTCAGCCTTGTGGGAAACTGAAATAGCTTGTGGAGAAGAGGGAGCAAATGTTGCAGGTCTTACATGAGACTGTGGCTTAGGATTTTAGTTGCTCACTTCATTGACTGGCTGTTAGCTCCTGGCTCATTGGTGATTGCAAACACTTGAGAATGGTGGTGGTGGTGGTAGGGATATATGAAAATGACAGTTCCTACCCTTGTATTCTACAGACAAGGAAAACAGCATAAACTAGATCACGGAAATTGTGACAGTGAATGATGGAATTAGACATAGTGTTAAGGATACAGGACTGATGAGGGGATGGGCTCCTTAGATGAACCAAGTGGCTGTGGCATAAGTAGAGGGCAAGGAGGAGCATAAGTTGAGCCTGGAGAGATAGGCAGCAACCACGTCATAATGTAGGACCTTGAGGGCCTAGGGAAGACATTTGTGTTTTATTTAAAGAGCACTGGGATGTGCAAAACCTCTCACCAAATAACATCCAGGGTTGTCCTACAAGACTGCAGGTAACCCAGACCCCCATGGACGCTCCCTATCTTCTGTCCCCTCATTCATTGACTCACACTGGTGTTTGTTGTTCCTGATACCCAAGCCCACTATAGATTCTTGCTGTTCCTATTTCCTCTGCCTGGTCCTCCCCAAGATAAACCCTCATTTCCTTCAGGTCTTTGCTGGATGTCACGTTATCAGTGAGGCCTTGGACCACTGGATATAAGTAACAAGTCCCTCTCTCCCTCTAGCATTCTATCCTTATTTAGCTTTATTTTTCACTGCAGCCCTTATGAGAGTCTGACAAGTCTTATCTTTGCTTATTCCCTGTTCTCCACTATAACATGAACTCCATGAGGGCAGGAACTCTTTTTCTCTTGTGTTTTCAGCATCTACAACAAAGACTGATAATTGGTGCTCAAAAAACACTTTTCTAGAGAATGGGTGTGGTGGCACATGCCTGTAATCCCAGCACTCAGGAGGTGGGGCAAGAGGCTCACCATGAGTTCGAAGCCAGCCTGGGCTACATAGTGAGTTCAAGGACCCCCTGATCTACATAGTGATAGTCTGTCTCAAAAAACAAAAACAAAAAACCCAACTTGTTGAGGAAATTATCATTTGCCATTTCAGAAGATGTGATGGTTTGCTTTGGGAGCATGTTTATCAAGATGCCTCACTCTCAGACGAAGGAAATGATCGAGAAAGGTAAGGCTGCCTGGGGCTGGGTCAAGGATCTGTCCACTTTTCCTACCTGCCTGGGCTTAACCCAGAACTTAGATTCAGGCTTTGAGCAGTTTGATGGAAGGCAGAAACTCTGTGTTACAGGGTTTATACTGATAGGGATAACAGAAAACCCAGCAGTTTGAGGCTTAAAGAAATATGGTTCTATTTTTTTTCATGTAAAATTTGCCCCGAAGACTGGCACAGCTGTCCAGCTGTGGCACCTTGGCATGCTGTCATGGTTGTTGCACCACTGTTACAGCATTACAGGCTTTATGTCCATGTGCCAGAATGAAGGCAAGGCAAAAAGCTTCCTCCACAAATGGCCTTGCCTTCTTTTTGGAAATAAGATCATTTTCCCCGGGGACTTTCTGCTAACACCTCATTGGCCAAAGCCACCTATAACAACTGCAGGGGAACTTGGATGAGATTTTTCTTATCCCCTTCAATAGAGACTGGGTTGAAAATGGAGATTTGGGGAGCACACCTTTGGGTAGAGATGGTGAACCTTTCAGAGTTTTCAGTGATAATAAAATAGCCGGCTGTGGTACCTGTGCCAAAGGTTTGCCACCGCTGCCTAGGGTGTGCCACAGCGTGGACACCCAGTATGTTACTTAAGTCTCTAAAGCCATAAGATTCTGAAGCTCTTTAGAGAAGCATCATAAGGGTTCAGGTTCTGGTGCTGAGTTCTGTTGGCCCACAAATGTAATCTAGTACCTATATCTAGAGGGTTTCTGGGTTGTGTTCAGGGTTCTAAGCACCAGGCTAAATAATTTCATTGGTTCTCAGGGATTGACAGACTAGACAAACTCATGAGGCACTACTTATTTACAAAGAAAAGTAGAACCATCACCTGGGGCCCAAAGCTTGGCCAGTCAGGCCTTCTGTCAGAAGAATGAAAGTCTACAGGAGGGCAGACCAGCCAGAATGTCTGTAAAAGCAGATGGAATGTTGTTCACAGCAGTGAGTTGGTCACCAACCTCTGTCATTGTGCCACTACTCTGAGGTACAGTCCATGACTATTAGGGTGACCTTTTCTGTTCACTTGGTTAATTAGGTTGAGCTGGAACATTAGGCTTACTCACTGATTATTTTAAGTCACTTGTTTCAACAGTTGTGCTTTTCTAAAAACTCCATGCCTTGATGGACTTGTGTTTGTAAAATTTCTCAGCCATCTAGGATCGGCTGGGTCCTTCATGCGCTGGCCACCCCAGTGTACTATGCATAATGAGAAAAAGATGACTGAACCAAGATTTAGGATAGGTGCTCAGCCCTGCCCTTGGCCAGATGGGCTGGGCAGGTTATGTCCCTCTGGCATTTAGTCTCTTGCTCATAAGGAGGTTGGGGGAGGCTGGTGTCCCACTGCCTGGGTCCTTCTGTCTGTAATACAGCCTTGTTCTCTGTTTGTCTGCCTCACTTTTTCAGATCAGGATCACCTGGATAAAGAAATAGAAAAACTCCGGAAACAACTTAAAGTGAAAGTCAACCACCTCTTTGAGGCTCAAGGTATTGGCCTGGGGGAATTGGGAACCAGGAGGGCAGAGAACTGGCCGTACATACTCAGAAGGGCAAGAGTAGGAAGCCCCCAAGAGGTGAGCAGTGGCCAGAACTGTGTGTGCAAGGTGCTAGAGGTGTAGGCAGCGAACAGTGGTTATCTGTAGCTGCCCAGAGATGAAATGCATAGGGAAGGTTATGAGTCTTAACCCTGACACAGCTTCTTTTCTAGGCACCAGGCCTGGAATGATCTCATATTACATGCCAAGGTAGCTCTTACAGGAATCTTTGTAGGCCTCAGTCAGAGGTCAAGAGAAGAACTGAAATTCTGGGTAAACCCAAGCACTCTAGATAGATCCCAGATCTGACAAAATATTTGGCAGTCTCTGGAGAGCAGCACTGTCTTCACACGTTGTCCGTGGCCCAACAGGATGTTGATGAGCATTACCCAGTGCCCTCCGGGTCTGAGGCCCACTCCCATCAGACCTTGGGCCAGACTTGGTATGTGAACACAGTGCTAGCCATTTTGCTCGGCCTGACTCTGGAGCCAGCAGGATGTGGGGCAGCAAGAGGCCAGCCTTTCACATATTGTCTTCTTCCCCACAGGCAAGCCGGAGCTGAAGGGCTTTAACTTGAACCCACTCAATCAAGATGAGCTTAAAGCTCTCAAGGTCATCTTAAAAGGATGAGACTCCAGTACTTTTGGGGCCTGTGACTAGCATCTCCCCTGCCATCGTGGAGGATCCAGTACCTTAGGCCTTGAAACCTGGAAGGACAAGATTGGCTCTGCAGGGGCACAGACATCAGGAATCTGGCTGTGGTTCCCACACAAAGCTTCTGTCACAGTGCTTGGCTACTCTGCAGCAAGCAGTAGGGGTCCCTCAGCCTTTCCCTGTGGACTGTGCCTGACCACTGGTGCTCGGGGACACAAGACCTATTGACAGTGCCTGGCAGCCACCAGTAGGTGTGGGTGTGAGAATGGCTGCAGCAGGCGCTTCTCAACAGTGGCCTGCTGTCTGTATGGGCTCTGCAAGAGGATGAGGGATGGGAGATGGGAGAGGGTGGAGTGGGAGCCTCTGGTCAGCATTCCTCAGAACGGAGAGGTGGTTTGGGAGAGCGAGTGGTGAGTGCAGTAAAGCAGGAGGCAGGCAAGTGACCTCTGCAGGAAACACAGACTTTGGGTGCTCCGTGTTCACACAGCTATCTAGGGGCAGGCACATTCCCCCAGTGCCTCCACTCTGGCCTTGTTCCTGCTGCTTCCAAGCCCCTGTGACTGCTCTTAGATTGGGTGATCCTTGCAGAGGTGACTCAGGAAGATCTAGCAGGTTACCCCTTACTGCTGCTTTGCGAATGTCCTCCCTGCCTTCCTGGTCTGAGATCCTGGTGTTTGGGCTGCGGGGAGAGAACTGTTCTGTATGCTCTTTGAGGGCTCAGTAAATGTTACTTAAGTGAACAGATGTTGATAGTCTTGTTTTTTGTTTTGTTTGGGTTTTTTTTGGTACAGGGGATTGAACTTGGGTCCTTGCGCTTGCAAGGCAGGTCACCCAACTGCTGAGCTAAATAAATCCCCGGCCCGCAGATGTTGATAGTCTTTATCTGAGGGTATAGCCTTTTTTTTTTTTTTTTTTTTTTTTTTTTTGATAGG